TGATCGAACACATTAGCAATAAAGCAGAAGTAACATTCTCCTTTATGCACCAAACATGTGGAGAAGTCCTCCCAAGAGGACCAATTCAACTCCACCTAATCGTGTTCCTATATTAGTATATCAGGCACTTTTCTTTTAAGTGAGCCTTTCCAAGGCCACGCAAGGGGAAGCCATGTTCCCTTCCTCAGGATTAAAAGATGAAGCCCATAAGACACACTACAAGTCAGGCCCCATAAATGGTTACCTGCCAGTGCCTAGACAGAACATCTTTTGTTTAAGCTGGAGTAGCCCCTGGAGTAAAAGCAACAGGCAATTCATTTGCTTAGGCTAAAGTTTCCTCCTGACAATCAGAAATAAAAACTCTAAATAATAGAAAACACCAAGTAGAGGAAGTATATCATATTGGATGACAGCATGGATTTTGGAACCAAACTGCATGAGTGTGTAAGCTGGTTCTGTCACTTAGTATCTTTGTGACCTTACGACGTTCACCTTTGCATGTTTCTTTTTTTATGATGCTAAGGTGCCTGCCTCACAGTGGGCTGTTTTGAGGATATAAAATATACGTTAAGTAAGAGTTAGTGGTATATAGATTAGCACAATTTAGGTTGGCTATGATTATTAAGAGATGAATGATGTAAAATCCAGCTCTTCAGTTTCACCTCTTGATTCCAGAAGAACCCGTGTATTGCAGAGCAATGGAATCTTCTGTATTAAAAGATATACATCCCTTGGTTTTCTAGGCAATTGTTACACCCCACAGCCACTATGAGGATGGTAATTCTCTGGGGCAAATGGTGCTCACCCCTTGCCAGCCACAAGAAAACAAGAATGCCAAGGACCACAGTGAGGAGAGGCAAATGGGCTGTGGCAAAGGCAGTAGGTAAACAGATGGCTTCAGAATGAGTTCTCAGTGGAAGGGGGCAGAGATGCCACCTCTTAAAATTGTTAGGGGTGGGGCACCTGGATGGCTCAGGCAGTTAAGTGTCTGACTCTTGATCTCAGCTCAGGATTTGATCTGAGGGTTGTGAATTCTAGCCCTGCTAGAACTGTGGAGCCTACTTAAAAATTGTTAGGGGTAAGGCAGGGCCAGAGAGCAGATTATTTACAGAAGGGAAGAGACTTTCTCTAATAGGATCCTTGGGTAGAATTCCATATATATATATATATTCCATATATGTGTGTGTGTATATATATATCCCATATATATATTCCATACATATATATTCCATATATATATATTTTTTTTTTTTTTTTAAGAGAGAGTACACACGTGCAAGTGGGAGAGCAGGGGGAGGGGCAGAGGGAGAGAGATCTTAAGCAGACTCCACATTCAGCACAGAGCCCATCATGGGGGGCTCAATCTCCCAACCCTGACATCATGACCTAAGCTAAAATCAAGTCGGTTGCTTAACCCAAGCCACCCAGGCACCCTGAACTCCATGTATTTAAGAGAACATTTTATAAAACTTGTGACCTAGGCCGGGTTTGATGGCCTGAAGTGAACTCCAGGCAAGGCAACTGGCCCTGTTCATAAACCGCATAGAAATAACCCCTGCTCTGGCCAACCTCTCTGGCTTTTACAATCTAAGGAAGTCTTTCCCAAGAGGACTCTCTTCTAACTCCTTAGAGGAGGTGGCAAAGCTGCCTGGTACTAAGTAGGGAAACTGCAGTTGAAGACAAAAAGTGTAACCCCAGGAGTTTGGGTGCAAAGTCAAACATGCTCAGAAACAGATACTTACTCAGATGCCACTAGGACTGGGTTCTTTGCCAGTGTCAGGCCCAGGCATTACCAGGCATGGACTTTGGAGAGAAGGCTTCAGGGGAGGGACACTGGGAAGAGAGCAACTGGTGTACATCACCCATTAGCAAGACAAGTCATGCAAAAGAAGAAAACAAGAGTCAAATTTTTTTAAAAGATATTTCACCAAAACCTTCTTCCAGTGAAGTTTTAAGACCATGCTCATTTCTAGTAGTCTTGGTCTAGTAGATGTTCTGCCAGCTCACTCCCACCTCTATGCTGAGAGCTTTTAGGACAGTAGAAACATTAGCTGATTCCTAATTCATTTCATGTCAACCATGAGTAACAATATTTCACTTTTTCCTAACTTTTACTAAATTTGCTGGTCCCTACCCTCTGCCCAGTTTATGGGGCATCCAGAAACTATCTAGTTAACCTGATTTAATTAAAATCAGACTCTGTATCCAGTTTATTAAATAGACTAAAAGGCAGATCTTGTGAACGAAATTTTTATTTACACACTGTATCTAGAAGCAGATACATAAATTCTTATACAATTAATTTCCAAAAATGTGCAAGAAATTACTATAATTTGTTTACAAACCAAAACACATATTAAAATCAATGGACTTTGGATAATTCATTCTGTGGTGTTCTCAGTACAAATGGTACACACCTGATTTGAAACATACAGAAAAAGTGTAAACTACAGCAATCTGGATTGCAATTATTAATTTCATGGCACTCCAACGACTATAAAATTTCTTTAACCCAACATGTATACTTATTACAAAATTCTATAAGAATTTTTCATCATCTCTGGATGTAGAGTTTGGATCTTTTCAGAAACAGCAACTAACACATTTACCATGTTATGACTGATCGATAAAAAGAATGCTTATTAAAAAAACCCTTAAAAGGATTTTAAAAAGTAGTAAAAGGAGCCAAATTTGTGATTACTAACGTACCAATACTTTATTTTGGAATTTATAGTTATTTATGGAACTGGCAACTGTTTCTTATTAGGGTTTTCAGCAAAATGGTCTATTGCTGGTAGTGTGATTTCATTTTCAAATTAAGACTTTACATTTGATGACAAGCCATTAAGATTTAATATATACTATTTTGAATCATTCATGAAGCAAATTATCTCATATAGAATGTGAAATGCACAATGATTAAAAGTGGCGTTTCTGAAAGCATTGTTAAGATATTTAGATTTGTAGCACTAGCAGGGACACTGCATATAACCTATTTAAGATTTTAGTAATTTTTATCCTGTTTCAGTAATACTGGCTCAGAAAATATAATGTATATTTTATGTTTATTTCCTATATGCCAATGATTTAGCCTTTTGGCACATGATTTTCTTCAACAGCAAGATGGTTGCCCTTGTAGCCGGTTTCCTTAAAAGCTATTTTTAGTTCTATGATCATTTCCTGTGATATGTTTTGACCTTCTAGATTTTCAGATTATTGCACCAAGTAGAAAGAGAACAGTTTTCCTTAGAAAGAATGAGATATTTTTCAAGTACTTTCTATGCTTTCTTATTATTTATAAAAATGCCTAATAGTGTCCTAGTAAGCCTAGAATTAGCTTCTGGCCTCTATCGTGTTTTGTGATGAAATGCTTGATTTAAAAAAAAACGACTCAGATTCATTTATTGTGGCAAAAGGATACAGCTTTCCTGTTTTCTCTTTCTTGCCTTGAGCTCAGATTTTTTAGAAGCACATATTTAAAACTCACTTACAGGTTGTGCCCACGCCATCTAAACTGCCATTCAGTAGAATCCAGAAATTCACCCAAATGGTATCTGCACCAAACTACAGGATAGAGACTTATCTCTTTTCTCCTTTCCATTTTTAAAGACTATTTTATTTTAGGATCCTATAAAGCCAGTCTTTCACATTATGTTGTGCTGCCTACGCCAAATGGTTCTCTCTACACAAAAGCAGAAAATATTGCAATACTCCTTTGTTTGTAAATAATTTCTTGGCAAATACTTTTATCGACACACTATCAGGCCCTAGCAATTTCAAACTGGATTAGAATAGGGCATTTCACCTTAAAGTATTAAAGCACATAAAAAACTGGCTTTCTGAATTAGAACAGCATCAAGACTTGCCCTCCATAAAACAAAAAACACAATTTTAAAAACATATAGATGAAAATCAAAATAATCTTAACTTGAAACTAAATAGCTAGATCTTGAACACATGGTATCATGAGGAACACATGGGGAGCAGGCTATGCCCACATGGTAAGACAGGGTTCAGGGCAGTCCAAAGACCTCTGTGCACCATGATCTCACAAAGAGTACATGTAAATGCTTCTAGAAACACAGAGAAGCCATCCCAACATTTATTATTAATACACAGTGACTCTGTGACAATACCTGCCATCTAATATAGATGCACAGGGGCTTTTAACTCACCCTAGATATATTTTAAATTGTTTAAAAATAAATAGTTTTGCAAAAAAATAGTTTAAATGTCTTGCATTAATTTGATAAGTTTACAACTCTGTAATAGTTCTTAATCCAAATAGCTTATAGTGAACACTTAAATTATATTATTACAGTATACTCCATATTCCATCTTATTAGGTGAAAACATATTAGAAAATGAAAGAGGAGTCTTTGTGACAAGGTACAATCAACATTCCACCAAAATTAAGTACCTTTTCCCCTTTAAGTCAAAATACCATAACACGATATTATTGTGCCTTTTCTTGGTATTTCTCAGTTCTGACCCTAAAAAACAGAAACAACAACAGCAACAGAAAACAGGGATACTGGTGTGTCTGAATGACAAAGCCATTAAGGGTGACCTAAGACCTTTACTCTTACTTTTAATTGAGGGGTAAGAGATAGGAAAACTGAGTGGCAAAGGAAGAAATGTCTTAAATTACATGTTTCATCTGAGATGGAAACATTTTCTAGATGGGGTGCTTCCAAAACACTCACTGAAGCAAATAAACACTGAATTTCAAAAGAACAAAAGTACTGGGGATAACACACTCCTCTCTGTCCCCCAGCCCAAGCAACTGAATCAGAGATAAAACGACTAATGATGCTTGCCAATTTACTTAACACTTAGCTAAATTTAAAACAAAACAAAACACCTATTTTTAAATGGCAGTATATATGGTAGGCAACAAGACTTCCATATACCTGATATGGTTTTAATATTCTTCTGACAGGATGCTCCACAAGTCCCACAATTTTTCAACTAAAGTCATCAGTTTTTTTGTTTTTTGGTGGAGAGAAGGAAGGGTCAAATCTAGCACATCTTCATAGTGACTACGTAAAAGAATATAAATCCAACTCTAAAACAAGGTTTTCTACTCAAATCAATTTAAAATTTTATATAAACTTAAATGTTGCAAGAGAATCTAGTCCTTTTATGAAAATCAGTTCTACATTAAGTTCACCCAAAGAAAATGGTGGCTAAGCTAAAGAAATCACAGATAAAACACTTTACCGAAGGAAAGTATGATTAACACAAAATTTCTATCACAGGAAACTATGATCATCTAGAATCTTTTCAATAATAGTTCTAGTCCCATAGGTCTTTTTATGTTATTCCAATTTGTACCAGAGCTTAATGACAGAAAAGGCAACAATTTCTAAATTGGTGGTATACACTTCTTTATGATTTTTTTTTCATGTAAGGCCATTTATTAAAATAGACAAACCACAAGATGAAAATGAAGGCAACAGAAAAATTCAACTTTTCACAACCAGAAAAAGCACAACCTCAAAAACAATTTAGAAATAAGTGTTGTAAAAGATATGTTGCAGATCTGCATTCCAATACCCAAGATTATGTCAAATCATAGTTCTAAATAAATCTTTCTGAAGTATGAGATTAAAAATCATTTTCAGTGTATGTGTAAATTCTGCGTTTTATCATACGGGTATGTTTATTCAACATGATCTTTGAAAACGGGCCATTTAAAGAGACATAATAATATTCATTCTGTAAGTTTCATTCAACTTTACTTAGGGTTGAATACACATGAAATGTGCTTTTAATGCATAAAAATCACAGTGGATAGCAGCAAAGGACTTGGGGGGGGTGGTTAAGGAGAATCTGATAATTCACATTGTGATTATTCTGCACATTTATGAAAGATAATTCACACTTCCAAAACCTCAAGACTTCCCTTTTTAAAGAACCAAAATAAGCCCAAGACACCTTGCTGACACTTCCCCACCCCGAAACAAATTGATTACTTTTACACATAAAACTGAAATAATATGGCAGCAAAAGATTTTGATAGCAATGAAAGTTTGTAAACTGTATTTCAATCTCTTTTTCTTATTCCCAAAGTGCAAGATGCAGGGTTCTCATAATCTTTCAGTAGTGCTTCTCCTGTAAGTAATCCTTCATTTTGTTTGGCAAAGGCAGTTTCTGAATCAAGTCTATTCTGGTATACTGACGTATAACAAAGCGACACAGGTACTGCAAAGAACGCACCTGCATGAACCGTGATACGGGATTGGTCAGTCTGACCGGGTAAGTTGCAGATCCAGGCAACCGAGATCTTGAATAACAAAAAGCTCCATTTTCAGAGTCCCTGATTGAATGCTCAATTAGATCAACTATAGATGTATGTCCTTCCACATCCGGCTGTTCATAAAAGCTAAACCTACCATTGGAGTGTTCAATTCTCGTGTGAAGTGTTTTGCCATGCGAGCGAAAGCTCAAGCTCAAAAGGTAACGGTCATCAGAACTATCCCGGACAAGAAAAGAGCCATCTGGCACATTTGCTAGCTTCCCTTCTGCCTCCCAGCGTGTGATGGGTCCCCAGTACCATCCTTGTTTCGCAAGTTTTTTCAGCTCCTCTGTAAGGCTTGTCACCACCATGGGACCACTACTCTGCACGGAGTCATATACTCTTGCAACCCCAGGGGCAGAGTTAGGATCAAAATTCAAATGACAGCGCATACTTTCAGCCACGTGGGCATCTGTGCCGGTGAGCCCACTGAAGTTCCTTTGGATTTGATTGGTCTGCATTGGAGGTAGCAACGGTGAGAGTGGGGGTGCGTCATCATGACTCGCTCTGGGGCTCTGCAACATGACTCCTGTGGTGCCAATCAACAAGCCATTCACCGCCTGATCCACAAAGATCTCCGGGGCCACCACTAGGTCCTGGTCTACCTGATTCTCATCTTCGGCGAAGGAGCTCCCTCCCACTGGCGGAGGGACCGCAGAGACTTCCATGGGAGAAGAATTGTCCAGACAATAGCTACGTGATCCTTCCAAAGGGTACATCCCCTCATCTAAAGGCACAGTATACTGAATGTAGTCCTGAGGCATAAGTCCGATAACTACAGGCACATGTTCATCAAGGTGAAGATGCAAGTCTCCATTCTGAGATTCCGAACTCTTGAGGGAATTACTCTGGTCCTGGCACACGGTTTCAGACTGAAGGTCGTGAAAATCCTTCCGAACACCATTCAGGGCCGGGCTCGGACTGGAAGAGTGAACCAAGGCTTTGACTCTCACCTCCATTTTGATGCACGTCTCCTCCGAGTTTGTAGGGCGCAGGGGCCACGGCGTGGGGCTGTAGTGATGGCTGCGGAGCGATGTGGACCTGATGGGCCGCTGAGCGCGCACATCCTTGAAGACCAGGGGCGCCGAGGACGAGGAAAAGGTGTCCTCATCGGCAGAGCCCCCGGAGGCCGCGCCGCCCTTGCCCTTCTGCTTCTGTTTCGCAGACAGCCGCCGTTTCAACGTACCCATGAGGCTTTCACTTTTTGATCGGCTTTTTCCACCTTTCTCGTCTTCGTTGTTGATATCACAGCTGGCCATATCTTTTCCATAGCAGCTACCAAATAACGAATCGTCTTTTCCAAAATCGCTGGCGAGTGACGGTTGCTGGACTACCATGAAATCCGTTTCTTCTTTACTTTTATTCAAGTTGAAAGATTTTCGGAAGGTTTTAAGACTGATTTTCTTCATTATGACTAGTTACCTACTCCAAGAGGATCACGTTCTCTCCGGAATACTCCCCTCACACACCTGGTGAGGCTGCAATGCTGCATCTACGTACTGTTCCAGCTTCATACAACCTTTGGAGCCATTCTCTAAAAAATAAAACATAAAATTACATATACTCTTGCAACCCCAGGGGCAGAGTTAGGATCAAAATTCAAATGACAGCGCATACTTTCAGCCACGTGGGCATCTGTGCCGGTGAGCCCACTGAAGTTCCTTTGGATTTGATTGGTCTGCATTGGAGGTAGCAACGGTGAGAGTGGGGGTGCGTCATCATGACTCGCTCTGGGGCTCTGCAACATGACTCCTGTGGTGCCAATCAACAAGCCATTCACCGCCTGATCCACAAAGATCTCCGGGGCCACCACTAGGTCCTGGTCTACCTGATTCTCATCTTCGGCGAAGGAGCTCCCTCCCACTGGCGGAGGGACCGCAGAGACTTCCATGGGAGAAGAATTGTCCAGACAATAGCTACGTGATCCTTCCAAAGGGTACATCCCCTCATCTAAAGGCACAGTATACTGAATGTAGTCCTGAGGCATAAGTCCGATAACTACAGGCACATGTTCATCAAGGTGAAGATGCAAGTCTCCATTCTGAGATTCCGAACTCTTGAGGGAATTACTCTGGTCCTGGCACACGGTTTCAGACTGAAGGTCGTGAAAATCCTTCCGAACACCATTCAGGGCCGGGCTCGGACTGGAAGAGTGAACCAAGGCTTTGACTCTCACCTCCATTTTGATGCACGTCTCCTCCGAGTTTGTAGGGCGCAGGGGCCACGGCGTGGGGCTGTAGTGATGGCTGCGGAGCGATGTGGACCTGATGGGCCGCTGAGCGCGCACATCCTTGAAGACCAGGGGCGCCGAGGACGAGGAAAAGGTGTCCTCATCGGCAGAGCCCCCGGAGGCCGCGCCGCCCTTGCCCTTCTGCTTCTGTTTCGCAGACAGCCGCCGTTTCAACGTACCCATGAGGCTTTCACTTTTTGATCGGCTTTTTCCACCTTTCTCGTCTTCGTTGTTGATATCACAGCTGGCCATATCTTTTCCATAGCAGCTACCAAATAACGAATCGTCTTTTCCAAAATCGCTGGCGAGTGACGGTTGCTGGACTACCATGAAATCCGTTTCTTCTTTACTTTTATTCAAGTTGAAAGATTTTCGGAAGGTTTTAAGACTGATTTTCTTCATTATGACTAGTTACCTACTCCAAGAGGATCACGTTCTCTCCGGAATACTCCCCTCACACACCTGGTGAGGCTGCAATGCTGCATCTACGTACTGTTCCAGCTTCATACAACCTTTGGAGCCATTCTCTAAAAAATAAAACATAAAATTAAAAAAAAAAAGTCACATTACAAAATACTTCCACAGCAGTTTTATTTTTTTATTTTTTAAGATTTTATTTATTTATTTATTTGAGAGAGCGAGAATGAGAAAGAGACAGCACATGAGCGGGGGGAGGGTCAGAGGGAGAAGCAGACTCCCCGCTGAGCAGGGAGCCCGATGCGGGACTCGATCCCGGGACTCCAGGATCATGACCCAAGCCGAAGGCAGTTGCTTAACCAACTGAGCCACCCAGGCGCCCTAGCAGTTTTATTTTAATCAGTTTCAATCCTTTAGCTTCTGAACAAGGCCATGTGAGCGTGCCCGCAACAAGGTCAGCTCTGTTAGCACAGGGGCGCTTCCATCTCCCAACCCCCTACCCCCGGCACAGGAAGAGCTCACAGTCCACTATGTGGTCAGTGTCTGACAAACATCTCATAATGCCTAAAGAACAAACCCTAATCTTCCTCTTTCCTTTTTGCACCTTGCTTTTGAGCAAGAGTCCATGTTCTTGTCCTTCCTAACACAACTCCGCTAGACCGCCGCTCGGCTTCTGCACGAACTCGCGCTGTTCCTGTCCTGTCCCCAGCCGCCAGCCTGCATCACCAACAGCACACACCCAGTGAAGGTGACACCGAGTCGAACTGGCAGAATAACCAGTCTGGCTGATGCCTCAACAGTTTATGCACACTTGCAAATATTTAAACATCTGTAAAAATCCATAAGAATCCCATCATCTGGGATAACCTGGAGAAAGTCCAGGGATGGCCCTTTATGCCTGTGAGTTCTGAGAGGAAGACTCTCCGGCTTCGCCCTCCCGGTGCCCGGCACAGCCTGAGACACACTCACCTCGGCGGCACACCCAGCGAAAGCCGGATTCGTCTAAGTGTCGGTCTCTTTTGAAGATGATGATGAAGCATATTTCCAGAATGATTATTTCTTCTTCTTCTTTTTTTTTTTTTTTGTAGTTTCCCCTGGCAAATTTTTACTTCTGTATCTAAGAATGTATCTTCTGAACTATCTTGTACAACATTCCATCATTGAAAAGATAGGATTTTAATTCTGCAAAGACTTTCTGAATGTCATTTTATAGGGAAAAATTTCGGCCCCAGAAGTAATACTGATAACAGCTGTAACTGCTTTGCAAAGATCTTCTGTTTAAACTACACATGTTTTATTTCCTCTCTGTCCAAGCTCTGCAGTTTCTACAACCATCAAAGTATAATGCCCTAACAGGATGATTAGCTTGACTTGAGCAAAATGCTAATAAAACTAAGAGCAAGCTTCCAATCTCCCCACCCATCAGTTTAGCACCACTCTGTTTCTTGGCAAAAGACTATGGCTCTAAGCTTGATGACACTCACGAATTCACTACGCATTTCCTAAGTCCCTGCTACATACCCAGCACTGTATGGTCATATGCAGATTAATAAATCGTTTATGGCCTCATAATTGAGTAGCACAGAGAGATGTATGAATGGATAAATTATAAGACAAACCAATTAGTAATATACTGATGATAACACAGTGGGAACTGAGGGGAGAGATATCTTACGGACATTTACTTTACAGATAGATAGGATTTGGTTACTGTGCACATAAAATCTGCATGAATCATTTTTAATAAAAACCACTCACATCAGAAAATCTATCAGGGGATCAGCAATAGCATCTCCATAAAGGAAAAAGGAATTTTAAAGAGTCTTACTGTCATGTACCATGTTTTCGAGCAAGTTGTAAAAAATAAAACGCATGTAAGTACTTGGAGCGCCAGTTACTTTTAAACATATTAAGTTGTGTATTAGATGAACTCACTATCCAAGTACCATTATCTTCCACCTAAGCATAAACATGTAATATTTAAGTTATTAACTATTTTAAATTGTTTGACAAAAATATGGCCATTCATAAACATGAAATGGAGAATATAATGACAATACACTTTAGTTGGCAAGTCACTCCTTTTGGCAGACAGTATAGGTTTTGTAGCCAAAGAGAGATTCCAGTATGGAATCTCTTCTGATAAGAATAACAATCCACACACTGTGGCTGTGATAGGTACATAAGTATAAAACCACCACGCAGAGGACTTTAGAGATTTTGTTAATATATGATTAAAATGAATTATGACCTGTCATTAGAAAGAGGCTGATATGAAATGCAAGTAAAATAAGCTGTTCACTCGGGAATAACAATATGTGTAAAATTATGTTGAAATTTTAAAAGGTCAACAAGAGAAAAAATCAACAGAAAGGAGCCAATATCCTGCGTGTCATGGAAATATTAAGTAAAAATGAACAAAATGGCCTTCTGGTAAAAATCAGCATAACGTGGAGAGGGGGCTGGGGGGATGGGTTAGCCTGGTGATGGGTATTAAAGAGGGCACATTCTGCGTGGAGCACTGGGTGTTATGCACAAACAATGAATCATGGAACACTACATCAAAAACTAATGATGTAATGTATGGTGGTTAACATAACAATAAAAAATTATTTTAAAAAATAAAAAAATAAAAAAAATAAAAATAAAATCAGCATAACGTGTTTGCATCACATGAGCCGAATCCATGGGCTTGTGGATGAGCAAGCCGTGGGCCCTGACCATGGCACCCCACACCCCCAACTATGTGACTGCTCCAGGAGTCATCAACCAATGATGTCACAGAACCTACCACACTTAGCATTTCCATACTAATTATCATATCAACATGCCTTTCTACAGAAATATTTTAAGGAAGGCAAACGTATGTATCTTCATGAAAATCTGTACATTTCATGTGCATCCTTATGACAGTAGGAAGTTTTTTAAAAATGCCTTGAAGTCGGGCGCCTGGGTGGCTCAGTTGGTTAAGCGACTGCCTTCGGCTCAGGTCATGATCCTGGAGTCCTGGGATCGAGTCCTGCATTGGGCTCCCTGCTCAGCAGGGAATCTGCTTCTCCCTCTGACCCTCTTCCCTCTTGTGCTCTCTGTCTCTCATTCTCTCTTTCTCAAATAAATAAATAAAATCTTTAAAAAAAATGCCTTGGGGCACCTGGGTGGCTCAGTTGGTTAAGTGACTGCCTTCGGCTCAGGTCATGATCCTGGAGTCCTGGGATCGAGTCCTGCATTGGGCTCCCTGCTCAGCAGGGAGTCTGCTTCTCCCTCTGACCCTCCCCCCTCTCGTGCTCTCTATCTCTCATTCTCTCTCTCAAATAAATAAATAAAATCTTTAAAAAAAAAAAATGCCTTGAAGTCAGTTATACATTCTGCTGCAACTAAATACTACTCCAGAGTAACATAAAATAATTCTGTAATACTACATATGTGAGTGCCATGGAAATATCTCCAGAAATCTTTGCAAAGAAACACTATCACACACAGAAGCAGGTCCATGCATACATGGAAACCTGACACGTGACAGAAAGCAAACTGATGGCAAAGGACACAATTTAGTCCTCAGCATGAAGACAACTGGTCACACATCTGGAAAAATGAGAAAAATGGATGCCATACCTCACCCCAGCAGTGAAAATAAATTTATAAGTAGATTAAAATCTAACAGCAAAAATCTCATTTTAGTTAGAACAAAATATAAAGTATCTTTAAGACTTTGAGATAGGAATAAAAGGTCTTAATCAAGGCACAAAAAGGATAAAGAATAAAATCAGGGGTGCCTGGCTGGCTCAGTATGAAGAGCATGTGACTCTTGATCTTGGGGTTGTAAGTTTGAGCCCCATGTTGGGTGTAGAGATTACTTTAAAAAATAAAAACTTAAAAAAAAAACAATAAAACTTCAGTTCAAAAGATACCACAAAGGGACTGAGATGTCATCTGTCAAATTCTTTTGTGAAGCTAAGAAAAACAGGACAACCTAAGTATACTGAAAGGTCTATTAACTTCACTGAATCAAAAAGAACTTTTTTTAAGATTTTATTTATCTACTTGACAGAGAAAGAGCAAGTGGGGGGAGCTGCAGGCAGAGGGAGAGGAAGAAGCAGGCTCCCCGCGGAGCAGGAAGACGGATGTGGGGTTCGATCCCAGGATCCCAGGATCATGACCCCAGCAGAAAGCAGACACCTAATGACTAAGCCACCCAGGTGCCCCCAGAGAGAACTTTTAAGTACAATTCTTCATAGCAGTAGAAATTGCATTTATTTGTCTTAACAGGCTGAAATGGTGACCTGCAGACTAATAAAACCTCCTATGTTAGTGATAATTTTCTGGCTCACTAGCACAATGAATCCAATTTTGTTCATAAAAGAACTGGGCATCAATTCACACAGAGATTAAGAAAACTTAATTACCAATAGCTCTAAAACATAAAACTAAAGGATGCAAACATGAGACAAAACAAACATGTTCAGCCCCAGTAACAGGCATGTTGCAAAGAAAGTACTGTTTGCAATAATTATGGAAAATCAGCAAATTCTTGACAAACTAGGTCAATGGATCAACAACCAGAATGGCTTATATATGGTCTGTCTGGAGTGTCACTCCAATGTCTCTCAAACCCAAAAATGTAAATCACCCTAAAGCCTGACCCATAGGCTCAAGCCCAGTTAATTTTCTAAGAATGGTGTAAAGCGTTAGTTCAGTTTCGATCTTAGTAACAAAGGCTTTTGTTTTCATGCTTCTGTGCCTGCTTACGCTATTCCCTCCTCCTGATAAATGTTCTCTTTCTTTTTCCTAATCCACCTTTCAGATAATTCCTTAAGAAAATATTCTTCCTGAAATCTGTTCTGATCACCCAGCCAAAGGGGAGTTCTCTCTCCCTTCTCTGAACTCCAAACACTCAACCTGCACTTATTTAATAGTATGTCACATAGTGACGTAGAATTGCTTGCATATTCTATTCATATCTTATTCCCCAGATTGTAGTGCTTAAAGATAGAGACCATGTCTCATTCATTTCTATATTCCTAACCAGGAATTACCATTACATATTTAATATATACTGCTTAAATTCTTTGATGCCAAATAAATATTCCTTGACTATTAAGTAAATGATAGGAATGACGGGACAAGGAAATCACATTGTACAAAACTGGCTAAATCTCCTCTTATCAAAATGGAGCAAATGACCTACAAAATCAAAAGTCATTATTACAAATGATGCAGGACTGGCAATTTCATCTAAAAAGGCCACATGGAAAAACACCTGCCGATCAGTGACAAGTTCTACCACACAGAATCTATGCCCACACTTTCACATGGCACGTGTTCTGTGTCCAGGCATGTAAAGGCTACTGAAGAAATTCTACCAAATAAATACTAGTCAAGAGAAAGTAAAAATACTAAATGCCACCCCCCCCATTACTTACTTCCACATAGTTACAGAAGTATATCTAAAAATAAAAAATTTTTTGCTTTCTCAAAGTTCAGCATGGGTGAAAAACAGAGCATTCATGGCATTATCAATATATGAATCATGCTATCATCAGGAAATAAAAGTTGTACAAAGTATCTGAATCTTACAGTAGGTACTACAGACTTCCTTTCTGTTGTAAGCTACTTTTCATAAAGCTCTCTACAATCTTTCCCCCCCTCCATGTGTAAGATACTCTATCAGATCCAAGAGAAGTTAAGCTGTTTGATACAAAACTAAGAGATGGTATCTGTGAGCTCCAAGAGAGGTCAAGGAAATGATAGGACAAGGCTGGACAGAGACAGTCTGATACAGTATCCTTTAACAGTAAACTTTGAACATGACCAACAATTAAAAGCTGTCAGTCAGACTAGACTGTCAACAAAGAGACAGGCGAGGGTATATGGTGACTCCTAACTTAGCTTCCCAGCTGCACCCTGACTGCCTGATGTTAGGGTGTGGGTAAAATCCACAAGCAGGTCTTAGTGGCTCTGAGAAGCCCCTCAACTCAGACCAAACATTTTGTCCTTATTCTTTTCATCACTATCATCAGATCCTCAAAGGAGTCTTGACCCACAAAAGTCTGTCTTCAAAGAAAACCTTGTAAGTGGAAAGAACAGCCCCTGGTAGTAACATAGCCCAGTGGCTCATGCCACCACCGTGGTCACTATTTTGGGAGAGGCTGTCTGGGCAGCACAGACAGGAAACAAGTAAACCAA